TTTGGGACTTCCTTGAAAATTATGGAGCATTTCCATGCATATGTATTGAAAATACTGTGGCTTAAACACATCACACCTCAGAATGACATCAGAGATTTTTCATAGCAGTTTTGCCCAATGCTGTATGTTGTTTGATTTCCTACTGTTTCCACAGACATTGAAGGTGGATATTTGATTAATGAGAATTAAATCCTTGGGAAATTCAGTGTTTTCTCTTCTATTTATTCAGTTGTGAAGGTGTTTGCTTTCTTTATTTTGAAATTTAATCCATAGTCAAGACTGTAGTCTTTCCTATTCAGGTACTTGAGGTCCTCGTCACTTCCCAAACAAGGTTGTGTCATCTGTATATCATGCGTTCTTTCTAGGTCTTCCTCCAGTTCAGTTGCCTTACTCTTCTTCATGTAGTCCAGGTTCTCAGATTATTTGCTGAGGATTGAATAACTATAGTGAAAGAATACAACCCCGATACATACCTTTTCTGATTTTGAACCACATAATATTATCATATTCTGTTCAAAAGACTTCCTCTTGTTGAAGAGCTCAGTGAAATCATGAGCTCAGTGAAGTGTTCTGGAATTCCCATTCTTCACAGTGTTATGATCCATACAGTTGAATGGTTTTGCATAATCAGTTAAACATAGGTAAACCTCTTTCTACTATTCTGTACCTTTTTGTTGAGATTCATTTGACATCAGCAGTGATGTCCCTTGTTCCACAGCTTCTTCTGAATTTACCTTGGATTTTTGGCAGTTCTTTGTTCATGTATTGCTGTAAACATTTTTTAAAATGTCTTCACTGAAATTTTACAAATGTGTGATGTTAATCATATTTTTATAATTTTTACATGCCATTGGATTTTTTTGTTTGGTTTGGTCACAGATAGGAATTTTTCCAGTCAGTTGGTCAGCTATCTGTCTTCCAGATTTTTTGGCAAAGGTGAGAGTACACACTCATGTGTTACAACATCTCAGTTGATATTATGTCAATTTTTGGAGGCTTGTTTTTCACCAGTTCCTTTAGTAAATTCTTTCATTACCATCAATTGTTGACATGTGCTCTTTCCTAAAATGGTTGAATATTGACCAGTTATTTTTGATATAATGACTGTATAGGCCTCCTGTCTGGACACTCCATACTGTTCAGTATTTGCCTATAGAATCCTTTACTAGTGAGTCTCAAATGCTTGAATTTTTTATTTCTTTCAGCTTGAGAAATGCAGAGTGTACTGTTCCCTTTTGGTTTTTACTCCAAAATGTTTTGCACATTTATTTATACTTTAGTTTGTAAAATGCTTTTTACTTTGCAAGCTGCCCTTTGAAGACTATGGTTCATTTTTACTTCATTTCTTCCATTCCCTTTAGCTATTCTATATTCAAGAATACGTTTTTGAGGCTCTTTGGGCATCTACTTGGGTCTTTTTTCTTTCCTGTTTCTTAATGACCTCTTGCTTCCTTCATGTATATTGTCCTTAAACTTGTCTGATTTTTTGGTCATTAGCTTTCATTGCATCAAATAAATCCTTTTTAATCTCTAAAAATCCTTTTTAATCTCTAAATTCATGGTAAGATATATTCACAGTAGTACTTGGTATTTGGGAACTTGTTTTCATTTTTTCCCATTTCAAAATGAACTTTCAAATGAGCAATTTGTCTCATATCTATTCTGCACTAAGACACTGTCCTTTGATGACTGGCAAAATTGAACT